CCTTCTTCTTCTTCTCCTTTTTCTTCTTCTTCTTCTCCTTCTTCTTCCTCTTCTTCTTTTTCCTCCTCCTTTTCCTCCTCCTCTTCCTCTTCTTCCTCCTCTTCCCACAAGCATAAACATTTATTTCCACACAATGACACCTATATTCTGGTGATCTTCCCCATCCCTCTCCTATTGGAGTTTGGACTGCCAAGGCCTTGATAGGTGACCTTTTGCCTCTTCTTGCTCACAATCAGGCTTTGGTTCCCAGCCATTTCCACATGCAACCAAGTGCATTCCCCAGCTCCTTTTTAGCTCCCTTTTTATACGTTATCTTCCCCCTAGTAATCTGAGTTCCTTCCAGGCAGGGACTGATAGTGCTTGCTTACACTTGCACCTCCAGCACTTAGTATAGTGCCTGGCACATAGTAAGCACTTAATTTCTACTTTTTCATTAATTCATTTTTGAGAACTTTTTGCAAAGTTGACATAAAAATATTTCTCATTTCTTCTTTTACACTTGTGAGGCAGATATAAAATTACTTCCTATGCCCTTTTAAATTTAAGGTTACTTTTACTAACAAAATAAATGGCAGAAGTCATCTAGAGATTGGTAACTAGGCTATTGAAGTATCTGGAAATGATGTCATACAAGGAATACTAAAAGGAAGTAGCAACATTTATAAAAATACACATATGCCCTCTTCTTTCCTCTACTCCTGTCCTCACCCTGGTGTAGACCCTTAACACTTCACATCTGGAATATGTCTTAGATCCTTGTATTGCTGAGAAGGATTAGGTCAATCAAAGTTAGTCATTGCACAATGTGGCTATTACTGTGTACAGCATTCTCCTGGTTCTGCTCACTTCACTCAGCATCAGTCCATACAAGTCTTTCCAGGTTTTTCTGAAGCCTGCCTGTTCACCATTTCTTATAGCACAATAGTATTGCATGACATTCATTTACCACAGCCTGTTCAGCCATTGCCCAAATGATGGACATCCCCTCAGTTTTCAATTCTTTGCCACCACAGAAAGAGCTGCTATAAATATTTTTGTACGTGTGGGTCCTTTTCCCATTTGTATGGTCTCTTTGGGATATAGCCCTAGAAGTGCTATTGCTGGGTCAAAGGGTATGCACAGTTTTATAGCCTTTCAGGCATAGTTCCAAATTGCTCTCCAAAATGGTTGGATCATTTCACAACTCCACCAACAATGCATTAGTTGCATTTAGTTCCAATTTTCCCACATCTTCTCCAATATTTATCATTTTCCTGTTTTGTCATGTTAGCTAATCTGATAGGTATGATGGGGCACCTCAGAGTTGTTTTGATTTACATTTCTCTAATCAATAGTGATTTAGAGCATTTTTTCATATGACTATAGATGACTTGAATTTCTTCATCTGAAAACTGCCTGTTCGTATCTTTTAACTATTTATCAATTAGGGAATGACTTGTATTCTTATAAATTTGACTTAGTTCCCTATATATTTTAGAAATGAGGCCCTTATCAGAGATACTGGTTGTAAAAATTCTTTCCCAGTTTTCTGCTTCCCTCCTAATCTTGGTTGCATTGGCTTTGTGCAAAAACTTTTCAATTTGATATAATCAAAATTATCCACTTTGCATTTCATAATGTTCTCTATCTCCTGTTTGGTCATAAATTGTTCTGTTCTCCTTAAATCTGACACATAAACTATTTCTTGCTCTCCCAGTTTATGAGGTCTGCTTGAGAGAGTGGCCAAGCATAGCCATTTTTCAGAGACAGCCTAGAAGGAATCCTTACATTGTATGGAGCTTGTTTGTACTAAATGACCCTGAAGGTTCCTTACTACTCCAGGAGTCTACTTAGTAAGCTTTTCGACAAAAAACATTAAAAATCTTTATACAAGGATGATTATTAAAAGTCTTTGGACCAGTTCTAAGGCTAACTACATTTTAGAAACAGATCATTTTCTTTCTTTAGAATATCTTGAAAGAAGGGGGAAGGATAATATTTTTTTTGTCCCACATCTCAATTAAACCTCCAAGTTTAGATCTTTTATCAAAATTAATTTATTCATTTATGTAGAATGGTTCCAGGAAAATTGCAGGCTACCAAGGAGATATTTGTTAACTTGATTATGGGAAATTTTACCAGTTTAGGACATTATAATAATTTCCCCACTTATAACACTTGTCAAAGTTTTGTACTCAAGCGTATCCTCATTATTTACAAAAAACAGCTGATTATATCGAGGGGCTGCAACTTTGTGTTAAATGGTCTTCTCTTTTTTCTTGTTCCTTGCTTTTAAGACTGCAGTAAAGAGAATTCAAATATTTCTCAGTGTTTTTTTTAATAAAACAAACTTTTAAATGAGGGCACCAGAATTTACTTTCAAGGACATCATAGGACACAGAAGATAAGGGTTTAGAACAATCAGTGCTAAATAAATATGGATCTAATGAAAATAATTTCATTTTATCTCTGTCTTTGTGAAAGAATATATTCTATCAATAATGCATATCTAACTCACACACTTGTAAGAGATATCTAATTTCCTTTTGTAAAGGAAATAAGGAAGGAAAAAATTAACTGGGCAATAATTATATATTATATAATATAATAAATGATAAAATAGTACTCTAATAATTAAATAGTTATTATCATTTATGCGTGCTTTAAGATTTGCAAAGTGTTTTCCTCATAATAACCCTGCATTGCAAGTATTATTCTTCTTTTACGGATGAGGAAATGAAGGCTCAGAGAAGCTACATGTCTTAGCCAAATAATTAGCCGACTAGTTACTTTTAGAGTCAGGATTTAAGACCAATTCCCAATCATTCCATTGTTCTTTCCACAACAAACAGAAAGAGCATTTATTAAGTCCTTACTATATGCCAGGAATTGTGCACAGCTCTGTTTATGTACAGTACAAAATGCTGGGCATATGAAGATGAGCCAACAAGCTACATCCTATCTTCAAGAAGCTCACTTTCTTTTTTTTTTTATTAATTTATTTTGATTTATCAAAAGTTTAAAATTTTTTCCCCCTTCCTTCCCACCAACCTCCCCAAGATGGTGCACAATCTGATATAGTAAGAAGCTCACTTTCTAATGGGAGAAGACCATACAGAAAGGGAAGCTAGAAAGGGGCAGGGGGAAAGGCTGCTTGCTGCTGAGGAGGCAGACAACCATGCAAATCAGTTGACTCCAAAGTGGGGGATGGGAGTGGAATAGAGGGGTGAAGAAAGGAAGGAGAAGACCAATGCCTATAACTAGGTTTCCTTAAAGGTTACAGTTTTCCTTAATTTGGCCCAGCCTTTAGCAGCAGAGGGGTTTAGTATCACTCATCTATTCGTTTTTCTGTCAATATAAGGAATAATAATAATAGTAATATACTTTATATGGCACCTTAAGGTTTGCAAACCAGAGTGGAGCAGTTACATAATTAAGTAGAAATTGGACAAAATATTTCCTTACATGGATTCGTTAGAGTTTAATTAAAGAGCCAGTTAAGTGTTTGGATCCATTTTCCTTGAGGCCAATGTCTCTTCGTATCTCCTTGGCAGTAGGCTCAAGCAAATGATGCACGCTCTCCGCCCAGAGGAAGAAAATGTACCACCGAGTGACTTTCTTTCCTCTCCCTTTTCAGAATGACTTTCACAATGCTGCTGAAGATGTTAGGAAACTAAAAACCAGGCCAAATGATGAAGAACTCAAAGAGCTCTACGGACTCTACAAACAATCAATCGTTGGAGACGTTGACATCGGTATGGTACCTACGCATTTCTTAATTGGGCAGTGGGCAGGGTTAGGGATTTTGAACAACAGTTATGATGCCATTTAATAAAAATGCAAATTTAAACAAATCTGTGTTTCTTTTGGCAGAGTGTCCAGGAATGCTAGACTTAAAGGGCAAAGCCAAGTGGGAAGCATGGAACCTCCAAAAAGGTGTTTAATTGTCAAACTGGATAACATACTTTGTTTGGTATACCAGAAGATTAGCAAAGGTAATCTGTTTTTTTCCTTTTCAGGTCTGTCAAAGGAAGATGCCATGAGTGCCTATATTTCTAAAGCAAAAGAGCTGATGGAAAAATATGGGATCTAGAGCAATGTTTGCTGGAATTCTTTTTCATTATGAAACTGTCTTATGATGTAAAATAAATTAACATTTAAAGGAAAAGGTAACATTAACTCTTCACGTTTCACCTCACTCCTTAATATGAGTTGAAATATTGAACTGTAGTGTGCAGAAGAAACTTAAATAAATTTTTACTTTAAATTTACTATACTTTAAATTTAACCATACAGAAATTTGTGGCTTTTTTTTTAAAGAAAAAAATAAAAGATTGGTTTGTTGAATGAGCAAATAGCTTCATGCTTATCTGGTCTGAAAACATGACACTGATATTTATATACTCTTATTTTAAAGTAAATCCAGGTGGAGCTTCCACAATAAAAATAATTCACAATGAGACAGTTCTACTAATAAGCAGATGAAATGCAATTTAAGGCTGCAAGTGGAAGAAGGAGCTTTCAGAATAAAGAGATAATAGTTCCACTGTATTGCACCCCAATCATATCATATGTGGAGGACTGCATTCAGTTCTGCAAAATGACATTCGGAAGTGGGAGGTAGCTTAAAAAAAAAAGGCAATCAGGGAAGGCGAAGGGCCTTGAGTCACTGACACATGAGAATCTCTTGAAGGAACTGGGAACAGTTAGTCTAGAGAATAAATAATTTGGGGTAGACGTAGGATTATAGATTTAGAGCTAGAAGAGATTATCTTATAAGCCACATAGCCCAACTTTCTTATTGAGGAAATGAGAATGAGGATAAGAAATGAGGACAAGAAAGAGGACATGGTCTCCCTGAGGTCACACAACTACTTTGTGTCTGGGGTGGAATTTGAACCCAGGTATTCCTGACTTTGAGTCTAGTAAATATTTGAATGTCTGCCATAGGGAAAAAGATTAAACATGTTCTAGTTGGCTCCAGAGGATGGAATTAGCAGCAATGGGTAGAAGTTGAAAAAAGAAAAATTTAGACATGATGTGAGAAAATTTTCCTTACAATTAAAGTGATCTAAAAGCAGAACGGCCGGAGTTAGGAGGTTAGAGGTTCACCCTCACTGAGAGTCTTCACACAAAAGTTGTTGGATGTATTGTGGGGATTATTTTTGGGGGGTATAGGTTGGACTAGATGACTGCTGTTCTGAAATTCTATGATCAGCAATAACCAGGCCTCCCAGGATCCTCTATGACAAGGATTTTTAACTTGGGGTCTATGAACTTGGCTTAAATACACACACAAACACACACACACATATAATTTGTATTGCATTTTGTGGACTGAATGTTGGTATAATTAGTTTCCTTTGCATTATTACATATTTTATTTTATGCATTTAAATGCATTGCTCTGAGGCTTCACCAAACTGTCAAAGGAGTCTATGACATAAAAAAAGATTAAGAACCCTTGCTCTCGGCTGATTTCAGAAAAACCTGGAAAGACTTGTATGAACTGATGCAAAGTGAAATGAGCACAACCAGAACATTGTACATGGTAACAGCAATTTTGTACGATGATCAGCTATGAATGACTTAGCTATTTTCAGCAATACAATTATCCAAGACAATTCCAAAAGACTCAGGATGAAAAATGCTCCCACCTCTAGAGAAAGAAATGATGGAGTCTGAACATAGATTAAAGCATGCTATTTTTCACCTTCTGCATTTTTTCTTTTTTTTCCCCTTTGGGGTCTCTGTCTTTTTTCACAACATGGTTAAAATGGTAATATGTTTTGCATGACTGGACATATATAACATATCAAATTGCTTCCTATCTCGGAGAGGGGAGAGGTGAAGGAAAGAGAGAAAATTTGGAACTCAAAAACATTATTAATGAGTATTCAAAATTGTCTTTACATGTAATCGGTGGGAAAATAAAATATTATTTAAAAAAGAAGAACAAGAAAAAGAACTCTTGCTCTAGGTCTACCAATCTAGTATCCTTGGAAGGACTGAGATTCAATGAGAAAAGAATTTGTTTGATCAAGAGAAAGACAGGGTCCATCAAGGAACTTTCTTCATGATATCTACTACACCTTATTATGGCATATACTGACTGCAAGGTATTGGGCAAAAGATGTAGTTGATAACCAAATTATCTTTGCTTGGGCCCTATTATTGAGGGAAGTTCTCCAACAACTTCAAGTTTAATAACACACACTTGAAATTTCACATAATTTGTAGTTTATTTTAGCCCATAGCACCAAAATTCAAAACCAAGCTCAGACTGAAAGCCAAAAAGCATTATAATGAGTTTTGTAACATAATTGTATAGTATTTGGAAATAGATATAAAAATTTGACTTATTTTATTTATATTTTCATTAGTTTTAAGTTATCCTCAGTGAATGTAATAGCAATTCTTTTCAAACAAAATCATCTGATTAAACTGCTATAAAATCCTCCTTTAATAAGCAAATCAACACTTCAACCTAATTTAATAAATAATTTTCATAATCTCTATGCTGAACAGTATTCTATAGGCTACATTCTACTTAAGTAAGACACTTGAATGTAAATATAATTTTTTTTTTTTGCTGAGGCAATCGGGGTTAAGTGACTTGCCCAGGGTCACACAGCTAGTAAGTGTCTGAAGCTGGATTTGAACTCAGGTCCTCCTGACTCCAAGGCCAGAGCACTAATCACTGTGCCACCTAACTGCCCCAAAAATATATTTTCCCTCTTCTCACTTTTACCCTGCTTCACTGCAAAAGAAGGCGAGGGCTATAGAAAAGTTGATCCTGAATATGTTAATGGTAGAAAAGTAGCCTGGTGTGGTATAGATAGTGTTGGACTTCAAGGTAAGAAGACCTGGGTTTTCATTTCACCTCTGACACTAGCCAGGTGATCATAGGCAAGTCACTTAACTACTATGTGCTTCAGAAAAGCCCCTGGGCCTTAAACATGAACGATTTTGATCTGTTGGTGGAGGACATTCTCCTACCAAGAATTCCTCATAGGGATGAAATCACAGATGCTTTGTGAATTTGTGTGTTGATGGAAACATGGATAAGTCCTTATTTCTTCAACATTATTTCCATAGCTAAAATAATGGGAAAAGTATACATATGCTTTATCAATGAAAAATTGAATGATCCTAATATAAAGAGAAACAACACAATTTGACTGTCTAGTACATTATTGATGTGTTTGGAAGGGTCCAGGTTTATTATGGCATATGGCAAGAAGGATATTTAGATTTAACAAGTCACCCTGATAGTTTTTTTTAAGCATAGCTTTTAATCTGTTGATAAGACTAGAATGAACTAAAAATATACAATCACTTTGATTGCCTTAGATTACTATGTAAAGGATATGTAATTTGCCCTCCACCAACAATCAAAACTCTGAGCCTTAGGCACAGTATGAAATTTCAAAGCATCTGGTTATGTAGTTTATGAGGAAAGTCTCATTGGAAGGGTTAGTGAGATAAAAGTGATTTCCAGGAAACTTGTGCGTCTCAACACTCCCACTGGTTAGGTCCTTCCAGCCTAAGAAATAAACAAAACAACATAGACTTTTAGCAATACCCCAAAAGGCATTTCTTACTCCCATACGTTATTACCCTAAGATCTCTCTGGACAGCCTGAGTGCTCTTCTGATATCCTTGCAACGTTGGGGCAATGCAAAGAACCCCACACTCCCTCAGAACATCAGGTAGATGATATGGCAAATTTATTTGAGGGCATGAACCAGTGTCCGGGCAGGAGTACATGGACCAAGATGACCTGCATCATTGGAGGGAATGTCCACATGATCAACTGACAGACGAGACCTACCGAAGTAAAAGATTCCTCACTATAGGGTGGGCTTACATGAATTATCTCTTGTTACATGTATCTTTGTCCCTTTACTTTCTTGAAGACCTATTGATACAATAGGCTCATTTTGCAGGCATCTTGAATCCTCACCATTTAAATTGAACAAGATCTGGTTGACTTCTCTCCATGGGCAGATCTGTGAGGTAACATTTAGCTAAATACAAAAGAAGTCATTAAGAGTACTTCACCTTCCATTTCTTCTGCTATATCTTCAGTCCCAGAAAAACATGTAATATCACAAGAAAGAAGTGTCTTTGATGATTTGACAAAGCTGTGAACAGAAAAAGTTTCATTTTTCCTAAATATTCAAGATTTCATGATCTCTCTTTGTTGTTAGTGATGCTCAAATGATTTGCCTCCTTTCTTCTCCCCTGCTACATTCCCTTTGTGAAATTAGCAAATATCAATCAACATTTATGAAGTGCCTACTATGTGCCAGGCACTGTGCTAAGTACTTAATGAAAATGTTTTCACTGGGTAGAGGATGAGATTGTTACTCATGATAGACTCAGGTAGTACCAGTCTAAAGAGTTCCAGACTCTTGACTGACTATGAATCCACCTTGGTCTTGCTTCTGGACCCCTTCCATGAATCTGGAAGCTGCAGTAAGGTAACAGTAGTCTGTCCATAAAGTACACAATTCAGAGGTTGGAGGTCAAACATGAAACTTCTACTGCTGTGACATGCCTCTTTTTATCAGTCATTACCACGCTAATTTCTCCATATCACCTGCCTCCAAAAGAGGTCTGCAGTAGTCCTGAGCCAAAGCTAGAGATTGGGAGGGTGGGGTTTCAGATTTATTATCTCATTGGCTATTTGGGGTCCACTCAGTTCAATTCACGATAAGCTTAGTAAATGCTGAGAGGATATAGGTAGTAGATGCTATGGGGGATATAAGAGAAACATAAGGCATCCCCACCCTCAGAGAGCTTAAACTCTTCATTAGGGAGAGAAATTCACCCCAACCTAGGGAAAAATTACATGATTATTATGATTAAATACCAAAATGTGTTGTTTACACACAACAAACTATAGGAAGTCAGAATAGGGAAAGATCATTTAGGGGCTGCCTATTATAATCAGAGGTAGCTTCATGGAGTAGGTGGGGCTTCAGTCCACTTAGAAAAATAAACATAAAGAATGATTATTAAAGATATTTTGCAGGACAGATAAATGGCAAGATGCCACTAAGCTATGAGGCAGGTATGTGGGCAAAACACAAAAAGGAGATGAAATCAGACTCTCTTGCTGTGGAAAATTTTGCTAGTGGTAACCAGATTAGATAAACATATCCTACTATACCTTGTTGCATTTTTTTTTAAAAATGTCTTTTTAATGACAAATTTTGTTTTAACACATCATGCAAAAACTCAGAGTATTCACAATTATATCCCTCACACCAAATAATCTTTGCTTCCAGTTCAGGGAAACTACCTATGAGTGACTGCAACTGATGGTACAGGTAGCCAATCCTACACTTTGGTTGTCAACTGTTGTTAAAAGAGTTAGCGTGTTGTAATTGATAGAAGGCCAACCTTGGGCAAGAAAACCTGGGGTCAAGCCTGCCTCTGACACATATTAGTGGTGTGACCCTGGGATTGTGAGTTATAGATTTACCAAGATGAAATCTAGAGGTCTAAGGGAATGAGAGGTCTAGGGAAACAAGAGGAAGCATGTATATGAGCTAGCACCTACTATGTGCCAAGCACCGAAGAAGCAAATGAAGCAATCCTTGCTCTTGAGAAGCTTTTATTATCCAATTTTATGAGTTTTCTTACTATTCAAAATGGTTTCCATTTATATAGCTTTAATAATTATTTTTTATAAAGAAATGTGTATATGTGTTGTTCTTTTGGCTCTGTTCTATTCACTTACCCTGTTCCATTTGAAAGATAGTGGGAAATGGTAGAAACTGAAGTAGCCACATGTTAATTAGGGTAGGCCCAGAACATATTAATCAGGGCTCCTGATTCTCTCTTGGGCAATTGGTTGAAAATAGTAGAAGCTGCGTAGGGTAGTGAGAAAAAGTTCTGTACTGAAAGCCAAAAGGTCTGGTGCTGCTCATGGATTTGGTGCTGCCTTTGGGAATGTTCCTTAACTTCTGTGCCTCACTTTGTGTAAAAACAAAGGCTTTGGAAAAGATGGTTTTTAAGATGCCCTTTACCAATTGAAGTTTAAGGTAAGCAATGCTGGCCCTTTGCTCTGTGGCTCTTCCTAGGTTCAGGTCTATCAAAGAATAGTAGAGTGAGATCCTGATGTTCCAAATGCTGGTCAGCAGAAATCTGGCCCTCCTAAAGCCGCCATAGATACACCTTACATGCCTCCTAGTTGATAGGATAAACTCTCTCTCTCTCTCTCTCTCTCTCCCCCTCCCTCCCTCTTCCTCTCCCCCTCCTTCCCTCTTCCTCTCCCCCTCCCTCCCTCTTCCTCTCCCCCTCCCTCCCTCTTCTCTTTTCTTTTACTTACTTGAAATTCTGTATCATTTGAATATCTGCTTTTAAAACAGGAAGAAACATTTCCAAAAGTTCTTTGTTTTCAAGAAGGTCCTTGGAAATGCCACCAATATTCGTGGTAAAATTAAATAATTGCTCTTCTGATATCCCAGAAAAACTTGAAGAGTGGAAATGGGTGATTTTCTTAAACAATTAAACAAAGTTATTATAACATGTCATATAGGTGATTTAATTTCATTTTAGAGCTCTAATTATCTAAGGAAAAAAGGATTTAATTAAATTACACTTAGTATATGGGATTCTTTAACTACAGAGTTTTAGTTCAGCAAGGATTGTTGCAGATCGCTGCAAAAATACCCAATCTCAGATGACTGTTCTGGGATCAGATCCCACTCCATCCTAGCTCCTCCAGCAGACTGACCCCTTGATAATCCCTATACCAACATCACCCCTACTCTCCATAGAAACAAACAAATGTAGTCAAATAACATAGTGAAGGGATGGAATAGAGATGGACATCCAGAGGACTTCATTGGTAGCCATGTAATATGAAAGGACCTAGGGGAAAGTCTTCAGGGTTGTTGAGTAGGTATGTATACCATGAAGCAATTGGGAGAGGAGATGGTCAAGCACAGCACAAGATGAGAAAGAGAAGACAGCTGAAAGCAGTATCTTTGAGAAGAAAGTATACACGTGGAGGAGATTACAGATCCATCAAAGCATAAATATCATCGCCCCCCCATCTCTGCCCCAACCTTAACTAAAAAAAATCACATTACTCACATGTAGAGGAGTTGCACTTGACACAAAACAATGCATTGGTTCTAACTTGTAATTTTCTTTTAAGTGTAGAGCTGTCATAAAAGCAATATATGATCCCATGCTAAAATGTGGAAAAGAGAAAAACCAACCAAATGAATGATGATCCATTCCAACTCAACTTAGAACAAGCATACCTTTAATGTACCATAAATGTAATTTTTCCAAGCTAAGAAAATAATAAGAAGAAATTAGGCTTATATTATTTCAATAGGAGACTTAGCAAAGGATTTGGCATTTCATCAACAGAGAGACTCTCCGTGAGGGAACTCCCACAGGTGATCGCAAGGTAAATCCTGAGGAGCTGTCTGAGGCATTCAGAGGTTGAATGACTTGCCCAAGTTCACACACCTTGTAAATATCAGAGAGGAGTTGTGGGCCTTGGAGTCTTCCTGACTCTAAACTCAGCAAGCTATCCTTCATGCTGTATTCACTGTTTCTAACGGTTACTTTTATAATACAGTTTTACTTTTTGCTTAAAAAGGCTATCTGTGATGCTTGCGAAAGGCAGCAGAAGAAGGAGTTATGTGGGGGGAAACATCAGCAAGCAATTTAAGGATACTGATTTTGAGAGTTTCTAGAAAGCACTTGGAATCTCCTTTTCTTCCTTAAGAATATAGAACAGAACACAATCGACAGTCAATTCTGCTGATCAATCCCTTATTCACTTGCCAAGTCTTGTATCCTGTTTTTCCTGATAGAAAATGAATAGACCAATACTTGTAGAACAGTTTCAAGTCATTATGACAAAATTATTATCAAATAGCTTGGGTATAGCTGATTTTGTATATTCATAGGGACAAGAGTCACAAAATCGCAGAATTTTAGTTGGGAGAGACCTCAGCAACAATCTAGTCTAATCCATACATGAAAGAATTTTTTGCTCTGACACTGCCAACAAGTGATTGGCTGTACTAGGATGGGAGCCAGGAAACTATCACTCTACTCCTATCTGTCACTAGCTAGTTGTGGGACCTAATGAAAGTCACTTCCCCTCTCTGGTCTCAGTTTCCTCATCTATAAAATGGGGGGATCGGAGCAGATGGTCACTAAGGTACCCCTCTAAATTTAAATCCTATGATTACCTGCATGGATCTTTAAGGCACTGGCCTACCTCCCTGCCCTACCTTGCAGGATTGATGTGAGGAGAGCACTTTGTAAACTGCTGAGTCATTATTTGGGTCTTTGGATGAATTTTAATGGGGTCAAGCCATTGCATGATCAGCTAAGTAATGGTGCAGCTTAATTGATTGCTCTGAGCATGGCACCATAGGGATAGCATAGAAGACATCTAAATCTAGATGGGGGTAAAAAGTCAGGTAAAGTGAGAAGCAACAATATGAAGGACTGTGGGAAAATATATTGTCAAAAAGAGGGGAGAAGGATATGGAAAGAAAATGGTCTCTCAACAAGTTTTTCCCACAAGGATGTACCTGATTCCTTGCCCTATATTTAGAGAGTACTGCCCTCTGCAAAAACAAGGCCAGCAAGGAGACACACAGGGAAGGAATTCAGCACTCCGACCGCCTGCTGGAATTGTGCATCAGCACTGACCTCTGTCTTGTGCTCCTAACTCATAAAACAAGAAAGCAGAAAGTAGAAGCTGAAAGCAGAAGGAACCTAAGGGGAGGAGTGAGGCATTATGTGATGACTGGCACTGAAATCTCCCTTTCTGATTAAGCAGAATGTAGAATGAAAAGATCTGAGTATGTACTACACTACACTACACACACACACACACACACACACACACACACACACACACACACACAGCAGCAGCAGCGGCAAAACTTTAAGAGGTCAGAAGGAGAAACGTGGCCAATAAGCTAATGTTATTATTTATTAAAGTTTGTATTTTTTTTGGTCACAATGAAAAGTTCAAATTTTATCATTATCTCTTCAAACTTCATTCTTTGTTGATACTTATTGAGATTGTTAAGCTTATAATGAAAATAATCTTTAAAAAATAATTTAGCAGATCTTAAGTTGATGAAACCATTTTGACATTTAAGTCCACAAGGTTGAACACAAGATGTGTTTACAATAGTGTTAAAAACAAGCGGAACATTGGACTTTTATTATTTATTTCTCAATCACTCCACAGAGTGACCAGTTCCCTGTATGACGCTGGGTTGTTAAGACGGGGAAATTTTTAAAGAGGTCAAATAGTATCACCTTTGGCTACTTAAGTATCTATTTCACCTAATACTGTGATGGAGTGAGTCCAACAAACAGCATTTATGTTCTTCGGGGTAACCAGTACCAATCATACAATGCCCAGAGATAAATAATGCTCTCTATAGGCTTTGGATTTAAGATTCCTAATGTCTTTGTATTGACATGCATGTTTCATAAATTTAGAAGAAGAGGAACAAGGAATTGTGAAGGTTATTTAGAAGGCTTTGAAAATGAGAAGGCCAATGAGTGAATGTGGGGAGGGCAATTTGAGATAGTTCAAAGTTTGAAGAAGAGAAAAAAACAAAGGAAAAGGAGAAGGGCTCAAGCTGAAGGACTTGGGAGAAAAAAGGAGAAAGATGCAAGGAAACAGAAGGTAGTTGGTAAGATCAGGAAATGAAGACATGTTGGGTAAGACAAGATTGGTTGGTTGGTTACTGTCTTTTGTTCTCAAAGAGGACCAAAATGACATAACTATGTTAGAGTCAATTTACAGCATGTCCGATGGCTGATCAGACCAATATGAACTTGGAATACTCTACCACAGGTTGGACACAAAGAGTCCATGTGAACATTTGGGGTGGGTTCTCTAAATTTGCACATCTCAAGTTTCTTTTGAGCCACTTCAATTCTGCTTTGCTCATAGAGCAAAGCACCTTCTCTGATGAGGGCATGCCATTCTGGGTGGTCCTGTGCCAGTGTCTCTCATGTCACGCAATCGATTCCGTAGTTCTTAAGAGAGACCTTGAGATTGTCTTTGTATCACTTTTGACCGCCATGTGAATGCTTGCCCTGTGTGAGTTCTCCATAAAATAGTCTTTTAGACAAGTGTACATTTGGCATCCGAACAATGCGGCCAGCCCATTGGAGTTGCACTCTGCAGTAGAGTTTGAATGCTTGGCGGTTTAGTTTGAGAAAGGACCTCAGTGTCTGGTCTCTTACCCTGGCAGGTGATCTTCAGAATCTACCTAAGACAATTCAAATGGAAGCGATTCAGTTTCCTGGCATGGTGCTGGTACACCGTCCAGGTTTCACAGGCATACAACGATGAGGTCAGCACAATGGCTCTCTAGACCTTCAGTTTGGTAGTCAGTATAATAACCTCTTCTCTCCCAACACTTCCCTTCGGAGCCTCCCAAACTCTGAGCTAGCTCTGGCAATGCATGTGTCAATCTACTTATCAACATATACATCCCTAGAAAGTGTACTGCCATGGTAAAGCGAACTTATGGAAGAGAAAGAAAGATGGTTGTGGTGACCAATATGCTAAAGAGATATTAAAAAGCCAAAAGAAATACAACTCAGGAGCTGGCATACTTCTTCCCTCCAAAGCAGTTTCTGGAGCAATTCTTCATGGGAGCTATGGGCAAGCACAATAAAATGTGAGGATCTTATCTACGGCAAGAGCAGGGAAAAGTTTGCCTTGATCAGCATAAAATGTATAATGTTTATATTTTTGCTGAGTCTAAACGATTTCCATATATACTTAAAGTGTAGGCTGAGCTTCCTTCTAAAAGTGAAGGGAAAGAGGCTTTAGGAACACTTCTCCAGCCTTCAGGAGCAAGAATAGAAAAATGAATTGTTCCTTTAAAAAAAGATGGGATTCAATGTGGAGAGAAAGAAGACAAAAGGAATCTAAAAAAGTATAGTGGGATTTTTATTTATGTAATGAGATTGGAGGATGAAAGAATGACCCACAGAGGATAAAGAGAAGAACCCAAACAAATATGAGGTTCTTCCCAAAGAGAAGGGAGTGAGATGCCCTGAAGAGCAAGTAGCTACACTAGGGAATTATGTTGTTTGATGTCAGATGAAAGATTATCCAGTAAGAATCCAAGGAACAAGAAACAGTACTGGTGGCTAATGTTTCCCTGCTGATGCAGTACCGAGACAGGCATTGGTCAGCTAGAAAACAATAGGGAAATCTGTTGTCTTTTGAGGGCATACATCCAAGTCAGGAATTGTTAAATCAGAACATCAGTATAAGTGTCAATCTTATTTTACCTGGGCATATATGTTACTGCCAAAAGATTTTTTTCATTTAATATTTTATTCCCTCCTCCCTCACCCCCGCCAATTACATGTTTAAACAATTGCCAAAAGGATTCTAAAGAGCTCTGGTACAGATAATGAAATCTTGAATAAGAAACTGAAGACCTTAGAAACGTAAGTGGTAATCACTGTTGCCCATTTAAATCAAGGGATTCAGAAGTGAAAGGAAAACTGGAGAAGTGAATAGCTAGTTAAAAACATGGTATCTCAGGTCTGCCAGGTGGTACAGTGGATAGAGCACCAGCTCTGGAATCAAGAGGACCTGAGTTCAAATTTAGCCTCAGATACTTGACACCTCCTAGCTATGTGACTCAGGGCAAGTCACTTAACCCCGATTACCTCACCAAAATAAATTTTAAAAAAAATTTTAAAAAAATAAAGATGTGGTATCTCAGAGTTCCTGCCTTGGAATCAGGAGGACCTGGATTCAAATCTAGACTCAGACACTTGACACTTACTAGCTATATGACCCTGGGCAAGTCACTTAACCCCAATTGCCTCACCAAAACAAACAAACAAACCAACAAACAAAACCCCATGGAATCTGGGAATGCAATTAGGATTTCTGAACCCTTACCTTTCAGGTGTCCAGATGAGCAAGCAGTTTGGTACAATGGAAAGAGCAGTGGCCCTACTCAGGGGACCTAAGTTCAAATTCCACCTGTGACATTATCTTTGTGACTTTGGGCAATTCATTTTACCTCCCTGGGCCTTGTCTGTAAAGGAGGAGATCGACTAGATGGGTCTCTGAGGTTCTTTCCAGTTCTTTATCTATGATCCCTACAAGGTAAAGAGCACGCCATGCTCTTTAGTCCCAGTTGGTCTTATAGTTCAGAACCCTTGATGTGACAGAGAACATTTTTTCTTTTCTTTCTTTACCTGTGACCAAAAAATGCAAAAGGAACATTCTGGAGCATTGGCAGTAAAGCATTAGAAATTTCAGCAGCTACATGATCCAAGCTTGTTGCAAATGGCTCATTAGATCGATTTCCTCTTCCAGGAAGCGTTATAGAGGAAACTGGAAATCAAGAGAGACAGACGGATATAAACTAACGTTAAATAATGTATACTATGAAAAAAAAAGTCAAAAAAAAGAATGTATACTATTATAATAGAGACTCTCACCATTCATTCACTCAACAACCATTTTAATATAGAATTGCATGAAAACAATTACAATGATAATAATCAATTCTGCTCAGAAAAGTTCATATATTTGTCAATAAAATAATAGTGAAATAAATTTCTACATAGTGACTAATTCATATCACCTGCAATACCTACCACATATCGTTATTGTGAGGACCAAATGGGATATTCTGCTCTCTGTGCTGTCTTACTTAACCCCTCAACTTTTCTCCACACTGACAGAGGTGGGTTTTCCCCAAAGGGATCACAACAAGTTTTTCAGGGTCCTATGGATAAACCTGATGTGGGAGGGGGTAAATTTGGACACCACTCATCCCTGTAGCTCCTAATGCCCCACTAGTATGCTTTCTGTTTACACAAAAATCAGTCATCCTATCACCATTAGCCATTAAAAATGGAATATTTATTTAACTATAAGGTAAAAATGAGAATAATTATAACACTGTGATCACTCAATAAGGAAATGCAGTAATAATCAAAACACCCAGTCTGCCCATGAACCTGGGTCACACTTTGTCTCTAATGCATGCAGTGCGCGCGGAAGAGAATAGGAATGTGTTTGTAGAAACCTGGCAGAGAGGTACACGAGTGACAAAAACCTGTGTCTACGCAGCTCACAACTCTGGAATGGAGGCCTTGATGTCCCTCTGTGGTCCCTTCAGAAATAATCTATGCTATACAAAGCTGCTTTTCTGATATTTATTCCCCTTCTGGTCTTCACTGTTCTACTGCTAGGCAAATCCATTGGTGATGAATCAACAATTACAATGTGGCTTAAGTGATTGTCTAGACTCATGAAATTGATGAAGAAGATATTAGTAACACAGATTAAACTTTAAAGTGCCATGTATTCACACACACACACACACATACACACACACTGAGAGCTGGTTGTTAAACATGTAATATCAGATACCTGCTTAGAAGCTATCTTGTCCAACCTTCTCACTTTATAAGTGAAGAAGCTAAGGCTCAGAGGGGTTAAGTGACTTGCCCAAGGACATAGTAGTAGTAAATGAGAGAGGGAGTCACTTATTTAGCCATGCATTCCTTCAACAAACATTTATTTAGACCTATTCTCCAGAGTGAACTGTGCTGTACTAATGAGGATACAGAAATGAATAAGAGTTCCCTGTCCACCTTTCCTCTAACATTGCTTCTTTTTGCTAGGAACATTCATATATTCAGACTTGTTACATTACTCCTGGGCAAAATAAAGCTCATTAATCATTCATTGGATATTAGAGAGGTTCAATGGGAAGAAATTACTGGGCTACTAGGCGTAAACTAAGCACCGAGATCAAATGACCAGAATTACCATGCCACCGTATCCGAGTTCTACAAAGATGATCAGATACTGATGTCTTGTCTAATGCCTCTCTTTTATGCTGTGTGAGGAAGTAAACATACTTGATGTTACATTTCCTAAGGGAATAGATTCTCTCCCCACTCCCACCCCCTTTTTGTATCATTTTCCCTGGCAGGCTACCCTTGTCAGCAGCAATTTGAAACTTAGGTTTAATTCCCTGCTCAAAAGAAATTATCTCCTATTTGTTCATTCTTCTTCTCTGTGGAGCAGCCAAGGGGTGCAGTGGACAGAGTGCTGGCCTTGGACTCAAGAGAAGGACTCACCTTTCTGAGTTCAGATCTGACTTCAGATACTGCCTAGCTGTGTGACCCTGTTTGCCTCAGTTTCCTCATCTGTAAAATGAGCTGGAGAGGGAAATGGCAAGCCTGTTCCAGTATCTTTGCCAAGAAAACCCCAAATGGGGTCACAAAGAGTAGGACACGACTGAACAGCAATTCACCTCTGTGTTGTTTCTCCCTAGTAGAATGTGAGCTCCTTGAGGGCAGCGGTAGCCTTCCTTTTCTATTTGTAGCCCAGGGTTTAGCACAGTGCTTTCCACATAGTAAATACTCTATCATTTTTTATTCATTCACTCACAATACATTGTACGTGTTCTAATATTGGTACATGCTGACTCACTCTATGGAATATGTTTTTTGGAGGCAGTGATGGTTTGTTTTTTAATCTCTTAGATTCTAACATAGTACCTGGCACATAATGAGTGTTTAATAAATGTTTATTGATTATTTGATATAATGTGTTTTTTCTTTGGCGCCAAGTCAACATAGCAATTCACTTTCATCTTTCAGTATGACCAAGACATGGCCTGAAGACCATTTGTTCTTCCCTTTTTTGGAGAGAATAAAACCACTTTCAAAAATTTTCTGAACATACAGACTATTCTCTATATACCCGACTATTGCTACGCCCTGAGAGGACGAAAAACACATTTTCATTGCCTTTTGAATTTCTGCCTGAATCTCCAGAGTAGTGCGCTTCTATGGGGACAGTCAGAACTTCCCATCTTCAGAAGACGGGAACATCTCTAGAAAGATCCTGTGGTAACATCTGTTTCCACAATGGATCAGAATTTATTTGTAAAAACAATGTCTTGTTCTCCTGTGCCATTCTGAGGGCTCTAAGGACGACGAATCACTAAGGTTTTAGAAGTTCATGAACTCTCTGAACTGTTGTAGAGTGAAGTAAACAGAGCTGGGAGAACAATTTATGAAATGAAAACAATTTAATAGAAACAAATAACATTGCAAGACTTTAGAGAAAAAAAAAGGCTTTAGAGCTCTGAGTAGGGCACAAAGAAACCACAAGTCCTGAGGACAGATGGATCACAGCACTCACCTCCAGCCAGGGAGGTGACAGACTTAAAATCTAGAATGAGGCATATTGTTAGACATGGCCAATGTGGGAAATTATTTTGTTGGACTGTACATGTTTGTTATGAGGGTTTAGCTTGCCTTTTTCTTTATTGTACAATAGGAGGGGCAGTGGAAGGGAGAAACAATAAATACATTTTACTTAATTATAAAATTGAATTAATTAAAATATTGTAAAAAGAAATGGGCCAATTTTATTACAACCTTGTTCAAAACAACATACCCATTTTTGTTTGTTTTCATAGCTTACAAATAATAGAAATTCATGGAAAGCAGTTATTTTTTTCTTTATTGTGGTTTGCACAGTTCTTTACATATGTTATCTTATTTGATCCTCACAACAACCCTGTGACTGTATTATCCCTATTTTACAAATGGATAAACTGAGTCTGAGAAAGGTTAAATGACTTGCCCAGGAGTACATGACTGGTAAGTATCTATGGCAGGATTTGAACTCAGATCTTCCTAACTCCAAGTCCAATGCTCTATCCGCTAAGCCACGTAACTGTCTCTATTACTGTTTGGAGCTATTATTATTTGTAAACCATGGTGGTCATTGGGGCTGCTATGTTCTCTATATGCATCTGTTTATTTTGTATAATGTATACTAACGGAGGGGACAGCCAGGTGGGTACAGTGGATAGAGTGCTGGGCCTGGAGTCAGGAGTCCAGTCATAGAGTCAAGCTCATCTTCCTCAGTTCAAATCTGACTTCAGACACTTGCTAGCTGTGTGATCCTGGGCAAGTCACTTAACCCCAATTGACAAAAAATTTAAAAAAAATTTTAAAAAGAAAAAGGGGCCCATTTCTCTTTGAGGAAAATACACAGCCTCTGATTTTCTATGCCTTATTGCTAAAGAAGTGCTAATAGATGACATTTAGTTGAGAAAATGCCTTTTTTTCTAGAGTCCTTCTGCAAGGGAAGAGGAGGCCAGAGAATTGTAATATGTCAGATCCTTGAGGGTAATCACTGGATTATCCCCAGTGCACAGTGCCTGGCACTAAGTAAGGGCTTAATAAGTCCTTGTTGATAACCTGTTATTAGTGTTGAATCATAGCTATGAAAAGTTCTTTGGAAAACTAAGCTGTGAGTAATTTCAAGAGCAGCTTTGGGCCATTGGGTTGGTGGCACCCTGAGCATAAAAAGGTTTGATAAGCCCCAAGATGGTAATGCAGATAACACAGATAAGCATCATCTGATATGAGAATTACACCTTCATAAATTCCTTTATACACATAATTTTATTTTATCATTCCAAAGAAGTCTGAAACTCTGCGGCTGAGTCACATATTTCTAGCCACCTTTCACAAGCGGGAAAATATGGGGACAAACCATGAGGCTAAGGAACTTCCGATGACCTCCCAGTTAGACAAGATCAGGGCTGGAATAAGAACCTGGGTCTCCTGTCAGTTGGTCTTTGAATTCATCCTCCTAAAACTTACTGTTATCAAACAATCTTCAGGCATCTGCATTTGTTCATGGCTGCCTATGTGTGTCTTCATGTGGCACAGGGAGGTTTTTGGAGATGAGCTACAGGAATGATTATTTTTCTATTCTATTTTCATTTTATCTTGGTTATAATGAGTCTCAGGATCCCAAATGCAAAAGTAATTTCAAGGAATTAGCTAGTGTAGAACTTTGCCCCCAGCAAAAAACCTCTTAATCACCTGTGATTTTTTTTCTAATCAGAAAGACTGTCAAAGATTGGGCTAAAGCAAAGTTATTTTGGCAGTATGTATAGATTCCAATCATTTTTATTGTCAAGAAGTTATTCCTAATCTCTAATAAAAAATCCCTTTATAAACTTACACAATGAATATCCTCCTTACTCATTAGCAGTGTTTTTGAACCTTATCACCTCATTACCCGCTAATTGGTTTTCCTGCCTCAAATCTCTCACCTCTTCCATCCATCCTCTACGTAGCTGCCAGAGTGATTTTCCTATAGCAATGTGATCATGTTCCTTTTTTACCCGATAAACTCCAGTGGCTTCCTATTTCATCTAAGATCAGTCAGTCAAATACAAAATATTGCTTAGCTTTTAAAGTCTTTCACAACCTGGCCCCAACCTATCTTTCCAGTCTCATTGTACACTGTTCTCCTTCAATCAATCCATGATCCAGTCACAC